GTATGTATGTATATTTCATAAACTGTAAGCTTTTTCTATGTTTTTTTTTGTAGAAATTGTAAAAGGATGTAACTACGTACATAAGCATATATCGGTAAAGATATATATGTATGCATTACCAAAAGTATAAGAAGAAAACAAAACGTAAGAAGATAAAACACTCACAACGTATATATTATGTATCCGCTTCTGTTATAAAGAAGAGATAAAAAAGAAAAACAATGTCGAGAAAACAAATTGAAAATTGAAACGACGTTGATTTTTTGCGAAAATTCAAATGAACTTTTCACTTTTTTCTCTCTATGTGCTCTCTGGCTCTCTCACATTGTTTTCTCTTTTATTTTATCATTTTATTCTCTTGTTTCTCTCAATTTCAGTGATTCCATTACGTGGAAGTTCAATTGACATTCATCCAAATGCTCGATGGCAACAGAACGGTCTCACTATTGCTGGAGAAAATGGAGAAGAAAATGGAATCAATCAACTCTCATACCCATGGGGTTTGTATGTTGATGAAGATCAAACAATATATGTCGCTGATCAATTGAATCACCGTATTGTGGAATGGAAATGGGATGCGACGAGTGGCCAAGTGGTTGCCGGTGGAAATGGACAAGGAAGTGGGGCTCATCAATTGAATAATCCACGAGATGTGATTGTCGACAAAGACAAAGATTGTCTAATCATCTCCGATTATTCGAATAGAAGAGTGGTTCGATGGCCTCGTCGAAATGGGACAAGTGGAGAAACAATCATCTCCAACATCGGATGTATAGGTTTGACAATAGACGAGAATGGATCTCTCTATGTCGTTGACTTTGGAAAAAATGAAGCGAGACGATATCGAAGAGGAGAATCTCAAGGAACAGTGGTTGCAGGTGACAATGGAAGTGGAAATCGTCTCGATCAACTCTATGACCCACGATACGTATTCGTCGATCGAGATCATTCAGTCTACGTGTCTGATTGTGGAAATCATCGTGTGATGAAATGGGTGGAAGGTGCAAAACAAGGCATTGTCGTGGCTGGTGGTCAAGGAAAAGGAAATGGTCTGACACAATTGTCATATCCTGAAGGAGTCGTTGTCGATCAATTGGGCACTGTCTATGTGGCTGATGCAGGGAATAAACGAATCATGCGTTGGCCCAATGGATCCACACAGGGAAGTGTCATTGTTGGTGAAAACGGTGCAGGAGGACAAGCGAACCAACTCAATTGGTTCATCGGTTTGTCATTCGATCGACACGGTAATCTCTATGTCGTCGATTGCGGAAATCATCGAGTACAAAAATTCAACATTGAATCCAATAAATAACGGACTAAAGTAACTTGAAAAAAGAAAAAAAACAAACTTTGTACACTCTTTTTTAATTGAAAGTTTATTATTTTTTTTTGAAAATATAGAAAATAAAATGTGAGTAATAACTAATAATAACAACAATAATAATATATGACTCAACCCAGGAGGTCGTTACGCCGAATTTTTTTTTTCAAGGATTCCGCATTCTTGAAAAAATCTCCAATTCCCTTTATACTAAAGTAAAAATTTTTTTTCTCACATTTTCTTCATGAAAAGTGCCTGAAAATCCTTGTAATAATACAGATTCTTCTACAACACAGTTCTCTGATGATATCTAGAAATCGCGTGCGCTTCAAAACCATCAAAATCAAAGGACTCCAGAAGACTTTGCATAAGACTAGAGGCATAGGAATCTCATCGTAACTGATATGCACGGAATTCTTCAGGAGTGTTGAAAATCCTTCTGAATCCTTAAGATATTTGTACAATACTCCTTTGCAGTCGTGTCTGACCATCGTTGATGAGTCAAAGGTCTAGAAACATAAGAAATTTTGGGTTTCCAGAAGCATGTGCCTTGTTCAAAATCCATGAAACTTGATAATTATTGATAAATAAAAAAAATTCGTGA